GATAGCCGCCCGCCTCACGGGAGAAGCTGAAAAGGGAAGAGCCGAGGCTGTGCGGGACGGGGCTGTGGTGCGGGAAGGAGGAAGGTGCCCTCTCCTCAGCACTGTTTCCTCAAGATTAGCGCATCCTAACGCGTGGGATGGCCCCGCTTCACCGTGCCTCCTGAAGGGAGGACGGCGGAGACTACAAGTCCCAGCGTGCGCCGCGCTGCCAGGGGTGGGAAAGCTGGTGGAGGCGCGGTGGCTGCTGAGATTTGTAGTTCCGTGGGGGTGGGGGGGCGGAATCCCTCGGGGGTGGTAGCGCTGCATGGCGGGAGAGGGATAAGCTGTGAGGGAAAGATGTCCCCGGGGGAGTTTAGGCAGACAGAGGGACTGAAAGACCGATGCCCTTTCGGGGGTGCTGAGGGTCCCTCAGCCGGCCAAGGCCGGGGGCCATGGTGCTGGGCAAGGAGCTATTCGCAGGGAGCTGCCAACTGAGGGGATGGGCTGGTGCCCCCTCAAAACGTGTGGGTCCTGAGCAAAGCCTTCTCCCCACTTTTCCTGCAGTTCTTCCACCATGAGGATGCAATACCTGCTCCCCACTCTGCTGTACCTCTGGCTTGTGCTGCTGGGGCCTGGCGGTGAGTGTTTGGCCATGCCAGCTTGGGCCCACAGGGCCTCCCAGGCAGGGGCCAGGTCTGAATTGGTAAGAGGTGGAAGAGGGCTGCTCTGCAGTATCCCCATCACATGCCTCTCTGGGAAGACCTGTGCCATGGTTCCCATCAGATCTTCTTTCACCCGTTACCTTTGACTTGGTGTGCTCATATACAGACGGTGCTACACTGAGGCGCTGATGTGATGGAGCACTTGACTTGTGCTCCAAACTCGACCTCTGCAGAAACAGTTTATATACTGTCTGTGGTGCAGTCAGTGAGGAACTGGGGAGCTCTCAAGCATTTAAATAACTTCTGAAGATCACTGTGTAATATATGGCAATAAGAAAAAAAGCATGCAGGCAACCTGTCTCTCTCCATTTCTGATCTTACTTTTATATAGCTCTTTGTTCCTCCTCTTGTCTCTTGTGTCTTTTAAACATACAGTGAATAAAATGGACTTGGATTCCAAATGTCAAAATTGTTGACACGTGACCAGCTTATGGTTTTGATATCAATTGTATTGGCACTTGGAATCTCAGCCTCTCGGTACAACATAGCTGGGTTGTTGTAAAGTATACCCCTTAACAGCAATATTTCAGAGCACTATAGTAAGGTGCTTGTGATTCCTGAAGTGTTAAGATAGTAAATGCATATGCTCTTGAACATCTGGGTACCTGGTTTGAATTTTTGACTCAAGAAGCAATTTTAAACTAAATTTTGGGCATTTATGACTCCTAAGTTACTAGGATCACATCAAGAAACAATTAGCCTGGGTTTGAAGTATCCTATAGCCTTCTCCCGGCATGAATTTTTGTTGCACTTCAAATATTTAAATTGCTTCCTTGTAACATGTTGAAGTGACAGTTATTTACTTCTCCTTTCAAGTTGTTTAGTCGTGTTGAAATAAGCTGTACTCCCTTTGCTGTTTATCATGTGTACTAATTTTATTAATCTGACACTGCAGGTACCAATGGACAAAATGTCTATATCACAAAAGAAAGTAGGTAGTTCTTCTGAAGGAGCTATTCATCATTCATAGTAATGTTTTTTTTGGTTGTTTTGGTTGTTTGTTTGTTTTTCCGCCCCCCAGATGGAGTCATTGTATTGTCTGTCCCTGAAGTGGTTTCATTAGAAAGTGGAAGTTCAACAAACGTCACTATCTCTCTGAGGTAAAATCATGATTGCATCTTTACTTTGTCTTTGGAACGGGGGACAGCAAGTGGGTAGGACTTGGCTATATACTTAAGACTTTCCTGCACAGTCGGTTAATTGTTCATACAGAGTGAATCTCATTGGTGTGACTGGCCACTTCTAGACTATTACTTCGCTTAGTACCAAGATGGACTAAGATAGTGCAGCATTTTCACACACGGCCTTGTGTCGTTGGCCTCTGACAATATCCCATGCCATTTGTATGGGAAGTTGAGCAGGAAAAGATGTTTTATACTGTCAGCCCTATATTAGCTTACTGAACTGTCTTCCATAAGTGAACTTACAGTTCCTCCATTTCTAAAAATTGATGCTTAAGAGAAACTTGCATTTCCTAGAAGGATCACCAAAAAAACTTTACCAAGCAAACAGAACTCGCCAATTTGAGCAAAGAAATACAGCTGTTCCAGAGTGGGGGATGATGTGCCTTAGTCTCATTGTTTGATACAGTGCATTGTTTACACATGTTTTTGCTATGTCAGCCTCTTCCCAGGAAAGGATTGTTAAACACACGCACCCCTCCCCTTTGGGATCTCAAAGTTTGAGTAAAGAGAACAGTCAGTTGAACATGTAAGAATTGTGATAAAAAGGAAAATAGCAAAACAGTCTAGAACTTTGATGTGGTACTGTAATCTTGTTCATGGACAAGTACAGGCATTTGAACCTTACGATATTTTAAGTACTGCTGTGCAATTAAACCTCCTAGGCAAACTCTCAGTGGAGTTCTCTGGGAAAGCTGTGCAGGACTATGTCACTTGGAGCGTTTTTATTTAAGGGTTTTTTGTTTTGTCTTACCGCACTGCTATAATTTCTGCCCTTCATTACCCCAAGTACATGTCCATTATTTCTGCCCCTCTTTACCAGCAAAAGGTTAACAAGCACAATGGTAGGATTCTGGTGGCAATGACTTTGCTCTGCCACTTGTGTGGAGAAGAGGGAGGTAAAATGTGGCCATATAACTGTCTAGTGCCCATCACTAGTTCAGGTGAAAGAAATAGTACAATGCTAACATACTTTGGTGATGGTGTTCCTCTGAGTACTAGGTAGGTACTGTTGTGTATGGACTGTTGATTATGTTTGCAACAGCTGTGAGGGTTTAGCAGGTACTCTCCCACAGCCCTGAAGCAATCTTTGTGAACTGAGGCACCAGTCTAACTTGTTTTTTCTGCCTTCACAGGGCTCCATTAAATGAGACACTGGTGATAACTCTTAATATTACACACTCATCAAAACACAGCACCATTGTTGAACTGCCTGATGAAGTAAGTGACAGAACAGACTTCTGACCTTATGCAAAAGCCTACCGCTAGTGTGGTGCAACTCTCCTCTTTCTTCCCTCCACTTTGCCTTGCAGGTACAATTGCCTGCAGGTCACACTAAAGCAGACTTCCAAGTGAAAGCAGATGATGTTGGACAAGTAACAGTTTATCTTTATACCATTAATTCCAACTTAACTGGGTGAGAAACTGGTTTTTAGTTCCACTTACTATCCTACAGCTTCCTAAACTTTGGGGTAACTTTTCCCTCCTTATAGTTAAATAGTTAATAGGACGTGGGTGGTATGTAGTTGAGATGTGGTGACCCTCCAGCAATCCCCAAGGTATTCAGATAAATACAGGGTATGGAAGCAGAGTGATAGTCTTGGTATCTTAGATTTCATTACTAGATGACTGTGAGTTCTCATGGCTCCTTAGTCTGGTTTAAATAACCCCTCCCAAATGTATCAAAACTACAGTCAGCATTTCTGATCCAGGAAGCATTTGGTTGTAAATGTCCAGTGGGATACTATTCTTACTGTGCAGAACTCGTTCTGGAGTGCTAATAGCCTGATGCAGCTGTGCACCCACATCACTATCGTGAGGTGTAGGTGTTTTGCTTTCTAGTTAGGGGAGCTCTCTTTTCACAGATGCCAGTCCGCTCTAATAGGAAAACAGTCTAGCAAGATGGAGAAAACTGGATTGTATTTGCTTGTTGCCCAGATGCTACTGAACAACAGGATACTCCTGTTTTACTTCCTCATTTTAGCTTCTGCTTTTAAGACTCAAAACAAATGCAGAGGTAAGCATATGAAGTGCTCAACAGGACAGGCGTGATCATGAGGCTTTGCTGGCAGAGCGTGAAAAGTGAAACTCTGCTCTTACATAACAGACCTCGTGCTAAGAGAGTGGAAGCCATAGGTACCTTTTTGAATTTTTTTTGAGTGAAGCGAGAAGGAAAGGGTAGGTTGATGGTAGGAGTGGGAGATGTCCTAAACCTAACAAGGACACAAAAGAAAAGGGGAGCAACTCAGCTGAAACCAACTCTGAATCTTTATTGTCTTGTCTCAACACCTGGACTCTGTTTTCTCTCTCAAAGCAGACCAAGGCAAAATCTCTTTAAAAAAAGTGTGAACAGACAAATTAACTAATTCTGTTTGCATTAACCATCAGACCTAGGATCCAATTTCAAGTGATTCATAGCATCATAGTGAGATACGCTGATGAGGTGATTGGCTGGATCTATTTCCTCGCCTGGTCTATCTCCTTTTATCCTCAACTCTTTGAGAACTGGCGACGAAAAAGGTAAAGAGACTTAAGATGTGTTTGCAAGTCACTCAAGCACTTCACAAATCATGTTCCTAGCTTCAGTTACATCCATCTGGGTTATCGTGAATTATGCATGAAAAGGCTGGGGAAAAAAGCAAGGCAAAGATAGGGCCTGAATAAATGCAGCCCCAGTGAGGGGCTGGTCATGCAGGTCAGAGAAAACTAAGTGCATCCTACAGACACTTGATCCTAAGGTTTGGCGTCCAATACTAATTTGTGATAGAGGAGACTTCCCCATTCCCTTTGGTGTCATGTTGTAAATCATCCAGCCAAGCCAATTGTGGTGACCACCTTCAAAGATTACTCACCTTGTTTATCAGACAGCTCCTTGAGTGTAATCATTAGGCCAGCTCCCCTTAAACTAAGTGACTGTAAGTAGAAACATTATTACATATGAAAACTGAAGCATTTGTTTTGGCAAAGATGCACTACTACTTCTATGGATTCAGGCTGGAATGGTTTTATCAGACTAGCTGAGCTCATGGAGGGGTGAAGTTGAACAGCAGGGACGCAACCTTATCAGTGAGAGCTGTTTTGAGTACCAGTGCACGGCATATGAGCGATATTTTGCCTTGCTTCCTGATGAACTCACAGCATCATGTTGTGACAATGCCTGCAGCTTTGGCTTACATAAAAAAATTGCCTATAACTCAGTACATTCTAGGGTCAAGTTGTCCCTGGAACTGCCTGTAATGCTCTGATGCGTATTTCTCATACTTTTTGTTTGTTTGTTTTTCCATTCTCTAGTGTGGTTGGACTAAGCTTTGACTTTATAGCATTAAACCTTACTGGCTTTATAGCATACAGTGTGTTTAATGTTGGACTTTTCTGGATTCCCTTGATTAAGGTAAACATAATTATCTCTTAATACTTGCCGGGGTGTGGGTATCTACAGAAGGGAGTTAAGGCATTTGGCTGGTTTTGGTTTCTCTTACATTTAGGAGGAATTCTTAGTCAGTTATCCCAGTGGGGTGAACCCTGTGGCTATCAATGATGTTTTCTTCAGTCTCCACGCAGTAGCTCTAACCCTCCTCACCGTAATTCAGTGCTGCATCTACGAGGTAAGTCTCAATGCTGGGCTGGCCTGTCAGCTCTGGCAGAGCTCCCTCTGCCGGACACCTCACCACTCACCGTCCTCTCCTTTTGGGCTCCAAAGTCCTCGTCGTTGCACTTCCATTGGCCTTTCTAGAAGTCAGGCTTCACAATCCAGCTGCCTTTATCTTTCCTGAACTAGTAGCAACTCCAGTAAGCTTGGCTACTTCAGCCTCATGGATGTTCTGAGCTTATAAGTAAACTCCTTAGGGACTCAAAATAGCTAAGGCAAACAGCCAAGTTCATGAAGTTCCCAAACAGATCTCTAGCCAGCACATAGATTACAGCTCTACGCAGTACAAATGCTGGTATGTGCTTTGCTGTTTCCTCACTACTCGGAGCATTCTTCAAGCTAGGACAGGTCCTCAGGGATTCCCTGCAATTAAAACTTTCTGATTTTCTCAACCTCTTTTTCTTCTAAAACAGCTGCAAAGGCCCTTTTATAATTCCCACCCTTTCCAGGTGAGACTGATTGTTATAGTCAGGTGGGTCTCTATTTAATTCCCACTGTAAAAGCCTCTGATCTGAACGGCCAATTTTCTCTAGATGGTAACTGTTTCTCTCTTGGGGTGCTTCCTTTGGTGATGCTAAACTTAAAACTGTAAGAGCCCATTTGTCACCACTGCTAGGTGCAATAGTCTTTTCTAGTGAAGAATTAGAAGGCAGCCATGAATCTTTTACCATAATGGCATTAACAGCTTTTTGCATATATAGGAACTCTTGATACCATCAGACTGAAGTCAGGAGATTGTAACAGCTGTGGCACTGATAATAGGCATCATAAATACTCAAGAATACTGCTACAATATTGTTTCCCACTTGCTCATGGATGTGTTCCAAATGATTGCTCATAAGCTCTTGCAAACCTACAGCTGGTTGCTGTAGCACTCATTTAATCTTAAAATTCTCTTGTGGTATGAGCGTAACTGGTACAACAATAGGTCTGATCTGTAACCTTGCATAGTCCTGAGCGTATTCTATGTCTTACAGTGTGTCTGGGGATGTATGACCTAGGTCAGTCTAAGTGTATCTGCATTTCTGTTTCAGAGAGCAAGTCAGAAAGTATCCAAAGTTGTTGTTGGACTACTGGCACTCGCATGGATATTCACATTTACAACACTGTTTCTTGCTGCAGCTGAGGAAATGACGTGGCTACAGTTCTTATTCTGCTTCTCTTACATTAAGTTAGCAGTCACACTGATAAAATATTTTCCACAGGTAAACCTGAACTTTTCTGCTTTTATACTATATTCCTGTCACCCTAAGCCTGTAGTGTCTGCTCTTGAAAGTCTAACTAGACTAAACCAGCAATGATTATTTATTAAGTCTTTTAGTGACAAAAATAGTATAGTTATACAAGCATTTCTGAGATTAACATTTAAGAAGCCTTCTGTACATGACATGCGCTGACCGACTTCTTGTTACACTCTCAGGCATACATGAATTTCCGTCGGAAGAGTACTGAGGGATGGAGTATTGGAAATGTATTACTAGACTTCACTGGTGGCAGCTTCAGCCTTCTCCAGATGTTTTTGCAGTCATACAACAATGGTAAGGCTGGAACTGAGGTGGTGGGGCCTTTCTTAATGCGGTGGGAGAATCCTGCTACAAAGCAGATAAAAACCAGTAGGTTATCTTGGGAGAATGATGTTTGTGCTATAGTATGGGTAGCTGTTCTTATACTAAGAATAAAGAATCTGTTCATATTCCTTCAAGATTGAAAATGAAATAGCCATTCTGAAGAAACCACAGGAACAGTTAATTAATTAACTTTGCATAAGATGTACACTACAGTTGGTCTTAAGGTGTGTCTAAGCAGTCCATGTGAACTTCTCTATTATGTATGGCATGACCTTGAGACAAAACTACACTTGAGGAGTTAGTCTTAACTCTCTAATTTTGTGTTTGACAGATCAGTGGAAGTTAATCTTTGGAGATCCAACCAAGTTTGGCCTGGGTGTCTTCTCCATCATCTTTGATGTTGTTTTTATGGTCCAGCACTACTGCCTTTATAGGAGACGAGGGTATGAACCTTGTGAATAACATCACTCATGAAGACAAAAACTTTAACTGGAACTTGCCCCTACCCTGGCTAAGGGCTTTCAAGATTCCTACTGCCAATTACCAGAAATACTGATTCTGTTTGATCCTCTCTGGTATGGAATACAAGCTGTTGCCTTGCCAAATGCTGATTGCCAGATGCCTTAAAGGACAGCAAGCTATCTAGCCACCACTTGCAAATGGAAGATTCATGCCTGTTGAAGCTGCAAAGACAGATTAGCGTGAGCTGTCCAAGCAACATGTGGCTCTTTTTCCATTAACAACAGGAAAGAGAAAGACCAGAGTGATGTCTTTCTGATTGGAAGTGAAGCACAAAGAGCAGAGTTCTGGCTTCCAAAAATCTGAGACTGTGTTTAAGCAACCACTTAATATTTTAATGTAATGACTGAAGACTGTCTGTGGGTCTAAGTGCTGCTGCTGACTCCTCAGAGATAGATCACAGTAGAACATCACTCAGGTTGGCTGTCAACAGCTGTAGTGGTACATAAAAGAATAATGAGGTTGGTAGCAAATACACAAGTGTTAGGAGCTGAACTCTTTATTAAAAAAAAATACTGAGAAGCAGCAGAAACTGTATTCTTATTTCACTGAAAGCTCTTTCAAAGGTGCCAAGACAAGTGCTCAGATTTATCTGAATACTTCTAGTGCACTAACTTCATTTTGCTCAGTTCTACTGACATGCCTTGAATCCTAAATGGGGGATGGTAAAGATTTATCAAAGAGATTATTTCTAAGTGGATCATGTTAATTAACAGCCCCATGATTAAAGTTTAAACATATGTTTTTATTCCTGGGCAACTTTCTAACTATACATGGTATGCTCTAGGTAGAAAACAAGGTCTTGAGTTACTTGAAGGTAAGCATTATACCCTTTAAAAGAACTAGAAGGGAATCCATGCATTTGTACTTGAACAATACTTGAATGCTCAAAAGCTAATATGTCTTACTAGGTGTCAACCTAAGGAAAACTAGAACCCCTTCTCCCCCCTGCTAGAGACCAGGTGAGGTGTGACTGCAAATGCCAGTGAAGTCAGACCTTACTGACCTCAGAATGCATTGTGTTGATGTAGTCCACAATCAAAGCCAGAAAAGAGGTATCAGCTGGAGGCATTCAAGTGATGTGGCATTCTTAAATGTAAGGAGAAACAGCTCAGGAAATCCAACTTTGTTTTATTGTGTGTAAAATCAAGTAGAATAGCAGTACAAATAGCAGTGTATATTTATAGTAACAAAAATAACTTCAACTTGGAAGCCTTAAAATTTGCCACTGAATTCTTAAGTTACAAAATTCAAAAGCAGTATTGTAGTAATTCCATAGATATAAAAAATGGTAAATAGGCATCTGCTGGTGCGTACAGAACAGTCTGAGATGCATTAATCACAACATACGTACATGGCACAGCAGTAATGTACTGAATAAGTTAGTCTGCCACCTCCTCATGTTCTATTTACAACAGCTTACCTGAAGACTGGTTAAAGAAAGTATAGATATGTATAAATCAACTGAAGGGGATTAAGAACTCCAGTTTTTGGATAATTGTAAAGCCATCTGGTTAACAAACCACTAGGATGCTAGATAATTAATTTAGTGTTGCAGCAAGAATCTTAAATCCTGTGGCATGTTGATTTAAACAACTTAGTATCTTACCAGAAGTTTAAATTTGGTCAAGAGGCACTTTTACAAATCACTGGCATATTCATTTCTTCTATCCAATAAATCAGTGATTTAAGCAAAGTCTTCTAGAAGGCAGACCAAAATCCATCCCTCCCATTTCAAGTCTGATAGAAGTGGAATGAAGAACTGAAGACTCTACAGCTACAAGGAGCTCTTTTGGTAAGTTCAGCAACAGTGTTTGCTTTCCTGCTCCATATTCCTTTCATTTAAACTTAATTCATTCAATGTTACAAATTACTTGGGAACAAGGAGAATTAAGGTTTTACTCTGACAGTGAAGTTGAACTGTAGTGTCTATGAACTTCTAGTGTTCTTCATAGGCATTAATTGAACACTTCTGTGTTACTTAGTTGTTTCTTGTTTGCTTCTTGTCTGAAGAGGCTGCTTTGTATAGGGAATCTTTGCAGTAAACCGTAATGCCCCAAACCCTTCAGCATACTCTGTCTAGCTAGCACACAACGTGGGATTAGTACAGTGCTCCTCCCCACAGCAGTGTGCAACTCAATTCTGGCATTTTAATTTGATAGCATGGGGGGACAGGACAGCTCGCTTCTAAAAGCTTAAGCACAGCAAACCCTCTTATCTTCCATAGCAGAAACCACATATCCTCTTAAAGTAGGAAGCTTTTGTGCTACAAAAGAATCCTGTCAATGTTAGGCCTTTTCCAGTTGCTTCCTTAGATAAGTAGGGTTTGTCCTGTCCTCCTGAAAGCCACGACTACAATAAAGTCTTACCATGTACCTGCAGGGAAGACTTTAGAGAAGCACTCTGCTGAGGGGACTAGAGTTTCACTACTGCCAGTTACACCAGAGGAAGGAAAAAAAAAATAGTGTTTACCACAGTTAGGAACATGCATCCTTCCAGGCAACCTGTTCAGGTCTAGTATTTGCTTCCTTGCTTGATATCAGTCTATATATCTCCCGCCCCAGCCCTTCCCCAACTTGATGATTGATTAGGACATCATGGATTGTTGCACAGCCTTCTGCAGAGATTGCCTGGTCACCAGCAGCCGTACGACTTCTTCATTCCTTTTTGTCAGCCTCTTCCTAGCTTGGTCGTGGGTCACCATTGTCATATCCCAGCCATTCACCTAGGAAAAAACCCCACAATATAAAATGAGGCAGGTGCATGGACTCACAGGTGTCCTATGAGTGTTCTATAGGAACTATGTAGTAGATATGCTTATGCCACAGCTCAGTTTGTTTATAAGCCTCACAAACTGTCCTGGAAAGTACCCTGAAGACAGTATTTTTCCCAGCAGAAACTTCTCTGTAGTGTGCACTTAGTACTACACTAGTACTTGTCTTATCTTGGTGTTTACCTGCATGATCTTATCTCCAATCTGAAGTCCTGCAACTTCTGCTGGGCCTCCTTCTGTCACCCTTGTTACATAGATACCCTGGGGGGAAAAAAAAAGTGTTAATTTACTAAATATGGGAGCATTAGATACTCAAGAGCCATTCTACTGACAGTGCAAAAAATAATTTGTGGTATATTACGGAATTCTAGTTCAAAACAGGTTTGTGCAATGTTGGAAAATAGAAAAGGTGGAGAGCTAGCATTAAACAAGCTTAGTCTGCAAATGATAACGTGGCAACAGAGTAACCTTCCTAGTCAACTATGTGAGAGGACAGAATACAGATGTAAGTGAGCAGAGCTTGCTGGGTGAGTTGGATATGCTCAGCCTTTTGCAGAGACAGTTGCTACAGGAAACAAAGAGCATCTGACCTTGTCGGTCTTGTCTTCAGAGAAAGGATTCTGAGTAGGATCCTGATCAATGCCACCTCCAATGCTGAATCCCAGAATCAAATTGTCACCTTGACGAAGCTTATGTATTTCAATTCTTTGCTGAAAAGAGAAAAAGATAAAATAGCTGAGTATTGTGATCACTGGAAGAAGTCTCAAGTGTGTTTCAGACACAGATACTTAAGACCCAGTTAGACTCTTTCACAGAGATACTGTAAACCTACTAGAGCAGGCTACATCACAGCTTGGTAAGCTTACACATTGTAGGCAGACAGCTCTAAAACCCCTTGGCAGCACGGAACTATCATGTGGCATTTGCTGTCAGTCACATGCAACCTTGGTGTTGACAACAATTGGCTCTGAACTGTTCTCAGCCTTACCACAAGATAGCAGGACAGGAAGCCATCTGCAAGCTCATCCCAAGGGCGCTCGCTTGGCTGATACAGCCAAGCTCCTCAACTAGGCAGTGCCTTACCACTGCCCGGAGATACAAGGGCAAAACAGGGCAGGTCTCTTCAAACATGAGTCATGTCTTGATAACTAGCAGTCACTTATAGCTAGAGTCATCTTGCTCTTTATCCACGTGCCTTGTGTTCCTGCCTAGCCTTATCAGTGGAAATAACAATCTATTATTAGGATGGTTCTTTTTCAGGATAACTTATCAACACACTTTTATAATCCAGAGACAGGTTCCTTGCAGGCATCTGACAAGCTTTACTTATTATCTAAATACTGTATAAATGCCAGCTTGTGCAATTCTTGAGCCAAGATAAAAAGCCACGATCTTAACTGAAACAATAAGGTTCTTCTCAAACAGCCCTGTTTGACCCAGAGGGCTCAAGGCTCTCACTGGGACACAGACTGCGTGGTCGCACCAGGACAGCTTCCATATCCTCAGGGCTGTCTGCTCTTACTCAGCTGGGAGCGGTGCAGCATACTTCGCTGGGTTAACCCCAAGCACGATTAAATTCAGCATTCTCACTAGTGGAAGAAACACCAGAGACCCTTGCTTGCACTTGGTTAAGGTAACTGATATACTTTACAAGCTCTACTTCTTAAACCCCGCCTAGG